AAGCTTCACGGCTCCCTTAACAACGCTCAACACTCAAGGCTCTCTTCACTACGCTCACGCTTCCCTCGGCTTCCTTCACTACACTCCACACCTTCCTTCACTACGCTCGACGCTTCCTTCACTACGCTCCACACTTTCTTCACTACGCTCCACACTTCCTTCACTCCACGCTTCCTTCACTACGCTCCACACTCCACGCTTCCTTCACTACGCCCCACGCTTCCTTCACCACGCCTCACGCTTCCTTCACTACGCCCCACGCTTCCTTCACCACGCCTCACGCTTCCTTCACCACGCCCTCACGCTTCCTTCACTACGCCTCACGCTTCCCTTCACTACGGCTTAAGGCTTGCTTCACTACGCCTCACGCTTCCTTCACCTTCACTACGCCTCACACTTCCTTCACTACGCTCCACACTTCCTTCACTACGCTCCACGCTTCCTTCACTACGCTCCACACTCCACGCTTCCTTCACTACGCCTCACGCTTCCTTCACTACGCCTCACGCTTCCTTCACCTTCACTACGCCTCACGCTTCCTTCACTACGCTCCACGCTTCCTTCACTACGCTCCACACTTCCTTCACTCCACGCTTCCTTCACTACGCTCCACGCTTCCTTCACTACGCCTCACGCTTCCTTCACTACGCTCCACGCTTCCTTCACTACGCCTCACGCTTCCTTCACTACGCTCCACGCTTCCTTCACTACGCTCCACGCTTCCTTCACTACGCCTCACGCTTCCTTCACTACGCCTCACGCTTCCTTCACTACGCTCCGCGCTTCCTGTGCGACTCACCAGGTAGAAGTCCCCTGGCGGAGCGGGGTCACCTTCCAGAGTCTGCTTCCTCAGGCTGTCCTACAGCAGCGTGACCACAGCATGGTGACAGGGGGCGGGGCCAAGGGTGTGGGGGATGAAAGGGGGAGCAGGGAGGAAGGAGCGGAGGAGGAAAGGGAGAGCCACAACAGATCGGGTGTCGGCAGTTCGGGAGCTAAGAGGGGAGGGGCCAAGGGCTGAGACTCCTCCTCCTTACCTCAGGGCCAGGTAAAGCTGCCCACTCTCACAAGGCCATCGTCAATCAGCTGTTGCCACTGGCAACACACCTGGAGAGGAAGGAGAAATGCATGTGGTGGAGAGCCATGAATAGTGTTGCACGGTGTACCGGTACTAGAATGGTACCGCGGTACCCATACGTTGAAAACAATGCGGTTTTGAATACTTTTAGTACCGGTACTTTAAAAAAAGCACCAATCAGAGCGCACTCACTGTTGCGCTCCGTGTCAGGCTGCCTGCACACATCGACTGCGCAGCTCTCACACATGTTATCAGGGGAGACGCGCCCTCACGTAGCAGACTGCTCACCCATATACAGCCTAACACCATTAGCCTTAGCCTAGCTTAGCTCGGGTGACCACACGTCCTCTTTTACCCGGACGCATTTTTTAGGTCTGGAAAAGAGGAAACGTCCGGGTAAAAGAGGACGTCTGCTTTGTCTTGTGTTGCTCTGTGCTCTAAACCTTGGAGTGAGACGTTGGGGGTGAAGCTACGGCTGACGGGCGGGTGGAAGTTTCGCTACGTGCAGCGAATCGGGTTATAGATGCGCCGTTTAGATGAACCAGCGCAGATTTTTTTTTTTTTAGCGTAATAAATTGGATGTGTGGCTTGCGTGTGAAAACATGGAAACACGCGTGTCACACGGGGAAACCGTGAGAGTTGGCAGCCCTGTAGCTTTGTTGGCTAGCTTGACAACAACTTTAGTAAGTTCCTGAATAGTCCAACAGAAATATATACATGCAAAATAACCTACAAGTTCACTCATGTGGGCCGATATGATCATGAGGTCAGAATGCACACAAAACTGTACCAAATAATACACCCTTGGTGCAATAGGCTACATGCTGGTGGATCTTCACCTAATCCTTTTTATTTTTAGTTAAGGAAATATGAATGTGAGAATATCAAACTATGCAAGTAAATAAAGCATTGTTCATCCCACAGACAGTCAAACAGATACCAGGTTAAAAAAAAGGAACCTTACAGATGTTTTATTTATTACTATCATAGATAAATATATTCCATTATGCTATTTGTGGTATCGGGTACCGTAATATTTTGGCAGGTATAGTATCGAAGTCATAATTTTGGTATCGTGACTACCCTAGTCATGAACGTTCCTCAGTAGATGTCACAAAGCTGCGTTCACACCGAACGCGGGGGATTGTTTCTGGTCAATTGACATATATCGCGTCATCCGCACTAGACGCGACGGAGGGGCCGTGGCTTTTCACCAGAAAACAGTTCAACCTGCGACCATGGAGGACACCACGACTCTGTAGCTGTTGTGAAGTTCTACTCATGTCGGACCACCAAACGCCTGCCTGCCGCTTCCAGCGCTAACCCGTTAGCCCGTTTGATGTTTGTCAGGTCGACTTTGGCGCTAACAATTAGCAGCTCGTCTCATCACGTCTGTGCATTTGTATGAAATCTTAAGTTTGGTGTGATCGCAGCATTGAACACGATAATATGTTACTATACTTCAGTCATGATAAATATATCACTGGAATCTTAAATCCTGATGACATATCAAAACATTTGCAATATGCTAACCCAATATGGAACATTTAGATTCATCCCAATTTGATACCCATTTTTATTTGAAAAATATCTCTTATCCAATAAGATCAAGTTCATTTCTAACGGCTAATCTTCAGGCTCTGCTCAGTGAACATGAGAAAACTATGAGGTCACTGTGATGCGTTTACATGTCATCTGTAAAATCTAGTGTTGGTGATTAACTAGAATAAATTTAGATGTTTTCACATGGGAATAAAAAGTAGAGATTACTGTAACTCCCTAATTGTGAGTAACTTGCGTAACCATTTGTACTCATTCACGCTAGATGAGCCGGAGAGTGGGAGGGGCTTATCTCCATGGAAACCATTAACTGCCATTTAAATCTCTATCTACCATTAAAACAAATAATCTGTTTCTGCTCAGAAATTGTTTGTGGACAAACCATTTCTGATATCCGGAGGAACTACATGAGCGTATGACATCATCATGAGGCGTGTTCACGGTCTCTCTCGGGACACACGTTTATTACATGAGAATGTAACAAAAACAAAGATTAATAAAGACTAAATCTGAAACCCAAAATAACGACAATGCCGATAGTGTGAATTGGTGTTTTATTTCTTTAAGACATTCCGTTGTGTGATGTCATGAGGAGATGAATCGTGCTCAATAATCAATGTTTATAGGAAGCATTTCCCTCAGGAGCTCACAGGTATCACACGTTTAACGCCAACTGATGCCTTTATTTGGTCAATTGGTGGATTAAGAGGTTTGCTCTGATAAACCGCCATCTTTTCTCATATAAATCACGTGAAGCCCTTGATGTATCAGGTGTAAATGAGGTCAGGGGTCACACTTTGAGGGCCTCAAACCCTGCTGTTGTTGCGGGGGGCTACTGGGGGTGTCCCTGGCAGAGGAGGCCTTCGAGCGGCCTGAGAAGGAGCCACCCGTCCGATGCCGGACCGGCCGCTGGGCATCTCCGCCTGCTGCTAGCTCGTGGCTAACACATCCCATTGTTTTCATCGAGGCATGCTAGCACGATTTCTTTCCCCACCGTCCGAGTGCACAATACAATGTGGGAATGTCACGGCGGGTTCCTTCCCCTTCTGTGATACACAAACACTAATGAAATCACCTGGATATCTGGCGTAAATGCAGCCAGTTACATCACCGGCACAGTTAGCTCGCTATAAATAATATGTCATCCATTTATTACTTTCAAGGTCGGCACAATAAATTCAGCCATCTTGCGCTTTGACGCCAAACGGTTGATGTGTCGCCGCCACAGCCTCGCTGCCTCCCGGGCCGCTCTGCCGCGGGGCCCCGCGGGGCCAACGGGGAAGCTACACCGGCTGTCCGTCCGGCTGGATCCGGGGACAGTGAGCGGTCTAACGGCGGCTAGCTGCAGCCCTGCCTTAACGAGCTAACGCGGCGCTAGCAGCGGCAGCTAGCCGCCGCGTTAGCTCGCTGCCGCGGCTAGCCGCCGCGTTAGCTGCAAAACAAACCCGGGACAGATCGCTCGGGATGTCGTCGGTTCTCGTCCCTCCTCCGGCTTCTACCTGAGAGAGGATACGTCTGCATACAGACGAAAAACCTCACAGGCGGATTCCCCACCAGCATCCCCCGGTGATAGAGACGCTTATACCGGGGGATGCTGATCCGGTATGGCCGGCCTGTGGGCTCTGCGGAGCGGCGCGTGAGGAGGAAAACACCGCGGGACGTGAACTAGCGCACAACTAACGCAACCAGCGCTCACTCGCTCCTCACTCGGCCGGATGGCACGCTTACCTTCTCGGGCAGCACCTCCGGAGGAGTCGGGGCGAAGCTCCGGTGGCTGGCAGACGGTCCTCGGTGTGTTGACCCAGTATTATTAAAGAGCACCGCCCGCCGCCGCTGTCAGCACCAAACCCACCACGAGGAATTAAAGTCCGCAATCAGGCGCACACAGCGGGCACCGCAGCGTCCGGAACCGGCCTGTCGTCCACCGGGTCGGAACCATTAACACCCAATAATGAGTTTACGTGCACACGCCCGTGAGCGGGAGGCATTCATAAATAACGTTTACGGTGCCGAGGAGGGGGGCGGGGCTACACCCCATCACCTGCCGTCTATTTAAACACCGTTTCACCGCGTCTCCACTGCGACCAACAGCCGCCTTTACAAACAAACACGGCGTTAATCGACACGGTTCATCGAATGTCCGAATCTGAGCGAGAGCTGCGAGACGCGCAGAGCATGCTGGGAGTTAGAGTTCACACCCGCAATCGCAGCAGCTTGTTTACAGCAGCGGATCCGCCTCAGATGTGATCAGCTGATATCGTGTATTGAGCCAGGTGAAGCAGGGGGCGAGCACCGCCCTCACAAAACGAGCGCTCCTCTGGGGTCCCACCTGAGAACAGGTACTTCCAATATCCAGCAGATATTGACGTACACTGCCGATATACAACAGCACAGATATATTTGCCTTTTGAGGTCTGTAAAAAGAAATATATTTATAAAAAAATAAAAAAAATAAAAGATTCTTAGGTATTTTCTCAAAAGCCTAAGACAAGTCAATGTTTATTCTTTTTAATATACTTTGAGCAATAAACAGCAGCTTCCACGATCCCGTTGGTTTGATTACCAGTGTAGAAGAAGACGGACCCAGAACGTCTAACACTTTATTTACATCTTTATTAATCATCGTTCAGCGTCACTCGATGCTCGAGCAGCACAAAATGACAAATTGAGGGACACAAAAAAGTAAAAGGAAACTCGCAACAACAAAGCGACAGCAGTGGGAGGAGGGGAGGGGGGGGGGGGACACGGGGAGCGGAGCAAGTGACGGTGGACAAAGGTAGGCGGCCTGCAGAGAGGCGACGCAGTGACACCAACAAGGACAAACAAACACGCGTGTGAACTAGAGCTCCGTGCTCGGGGTCCAGCTGAGAGAGGACGAGGTTCCTCTCGGGTTCTCTTCAGGTCGTGGCACCTCCTCGTGGATCGGGACCGGTCGTTTCCCCGCTGTCGTCGTAGCAACCGTGATACATCTTAAAAAGCACAACAAAAAAAACAAAAAAACCTCACTCCGCTCAGTACGGAGTCCAGGAGAGCGGCTCGGAGAACACTGGGACCTGCTGGTCATCGGAGCCCCCGTCTGCAAAATAAAGAACTCCTGCATTCAAAACCCAACACGTTTACACAGTGAGGTCTCAGTACGCTACCAGTTAGCTCACCAGGGCCGCCGTCGGCCTCAAGCAGGAGGCGGAGCCAGTCAGTCATGTGGTCGCTAGTGGTCAAGGGCCTCCTGAAAGAGCAGCCGAACCCAGGTGGAGAACGAGGAGTCCTGGAGCTGCTCTCGGCCTCCTGCGACGAGACAAAGGGGATCCAACGGTTTCATCAACGCGTGGATCCATCCGCCGCAGAAAATAGTCCCAAACAAAGTCACTGGTTAGTAAAACCTCTGCAACGCCAAAGGAAGCATCGGAGCACCTCTGCTAAAGAACCTACTAGAGCAGGGCTGTCCCTCATTTAGGTTAGACCGCTGAAGGTCTACGGCAGGGATGCCCACACCGCTTCAGCTCGCAAGCTACTTTTGATGATTTGTTGCATTTGTGTTCTTGTTGTTAAATAAAAAGAATTGTTTGTTTACCAAACACAGTCTCGTCAGTCAGAAGCATAGAAACGCAATTCATTTCTTTCTGTAATTCTCGCAATAGCGAAGTCACCCGGGGGGGCCGCACCGGACCCGTCCCGCTGGGAGTACTAGAGGAAGCAGCTGATTGGCCACGTGCGTGTGGTGTTCGGGTGTTACCGGAGACAGTGGGATGTTCCAGGGTCCCGGCAGCTCCAGAGACGACACAGAGGAGGCTTTAGAGGCTCCTGGAGTCTCCTTCTCTCTCTGCTTGACTCCTCCATCCTCACACAGGTCAGAGGTCATCTTCGCCAGCTGGCCCTGTCTGGAATCATATATATATATATATTTTTTTTTTTACAAACAAGACTAGCCACCAGAATAAAAGCCTCCTCTTAAAATACTGAAACACAACCAATACCAATCTGTATTACTCAAGTATGTATTAGAGATGTAACACTATAAAGTCCACCCACAGCTGCTCCACCGGGTCCTGGACGTTGGGGCCGTCACTCAGCGGGTCCCACAGGTGAAGCGCTCGCCTCCACAGACGCACCTGCATGTCCCAGGAGCGCCGGCTGTACTTGCGATACTTGTTGGGCGTGGAGGGGTGGAGCTTAGCGTCCCTCAGGTGTCTGAGGAGGCGGAGTCAGATGTTTAGCTGTAGGCTGGATTAGAATAGTCAAAAAACGTCTGCCCCTAACGACTCAATCCTGACCTGGTAAAAAACATCACTGGCTCAAGGAAAGATGGTTAGGAGAGTTGATGAGGAGTTAGGAAAAGACAAGGCGGACCAAGTAAAACATTACACATCACATGAGCGTTATTTCTCCTGAACGGACCAATGATACGTCACTTTAAACATTGTGGGGCGACGTGATCTGCTTTGGTAAAGGATGGTGCAGTGGTTCATCTGCTAAATGAGCCGAGTAAGGAAGCACGGAGGCTCCTTAACAGGAGAGAACACGCTGCTTCACCTCTTCCTAAGAAGAAAGACTTCCGATCCACCAAACATAATAACTAATTACATTAGAACATTACAGCCTGTGGTCACTTCCTTGTGAAACCCTGAAGGACTTACTGAGGTCACCAGGTCGAGTGTGAGGTCTTTAGAAGAAGGGATGAAGGGACAGCACGCACTTTTTAATGGAGATTTGCAATAAAACATTTCATTTTAAGCTTTTTGTAGGATTATTCCCATGATGTTTAGTGTTTACAACTTGAGGCGGGGGGCAGTAGTCGGGCAAATGGACTCGAGACATATTAATGTCAGTGTGCAACTGCTGTGTGTGGACAGATAACAATTTTCTACAAGCTGCTTTTAATGGGCTCTAATAGCACTTTTATTGTGAAAAGCCAGCCTCTCACCTGGGGACCTGCTGCAGGTAGTTCTGGTAGCCGATGGTGTTCTTGCCGTACTGGATCTGCTTCTGTCGCCGCTTCAGAACCGCGCCGTTGGTCTCTGTGTTGGCCGGGTCCGGGAGGACCGGGTAGCAGTAAGCGGACCTGGTGTGGGGGGGTTACACTGAGGTCAAAGGTTATAATAATGATTCACGTCACAAAGAACACGAGGTTCTCTGAACGCCTCCTTTCATCACAAGTTGTGTTCACTGACCTCTTGTGGTCCAGATCGTCCGTCCCCACGGCAACGCTGCTGGTTGACACTTTGAGAATACAACGCTCCAGGATGGACGGCCTGCGGGGAGGGGGGGCAGGCAAGACCAGACCAGTTCAGACCTCTATTGCCTGAAGGCAGTTTCAGTTTGGCGTCTTCACACTGAATTATAAAAACAATTAATAATGGCTTCTAGTCCGCATGCTACGCTACGCTACGCTACGCTACTAAGAAAAAAGGACAACACGTTGAACCTGCAGGCTTTGTTGCTGGCAGCTCGCTCACGTCCTCGCAGGCCGCTGATCGCTGGGGGAGACGGGGCTGCAGACACGTTACTGGGAGGACACAATAAGCACAAGGAGGGGGGCACAAGTACAACAAGGGGGGGGGGGGCACAAGTTTTTCAATGCTGCATTGAGCAAATTTACATTAAAGGGACATTAATAAATGTTGATTCATCAGCTGGAATAAATACAGAGAATCTATATGGAAGTAATGAAGTACTTTTACTTAGTTCCAGTATCAGCTATATTATTCTTTTATCCTCTTATGTACTTGAAAGGCAGAACTTCAGCTTTAACCAAAGTGAGTATTTATACTCTGTCGTATTGATTCCTTCAACGCAGTCAGAGATCAGAGTACTTCTAATACACCGATGATGTCATTGGGAGTCTCACCTGACCAGACTGTCGAAAACAGAGCTGCAGCCGGGGAGGAGCCAGGGCTCGGGGGCGGAGCCTCCAGGGGCCACGGTCAGCAGCGGCTCTGGGAGGCCGTCCCACATGGCGGCCGACCAGCCCCTCGCACAGGACCAGGAGCCGAGGCAGAGACTGAGGACAAGGAGCCAGAAACCGGCCGTCACTGTCGCCAAACCGCTGCATGGAAACCAGGTTCCCCATGACCCACTTCACCACGTGGACCCGGACCAGACTTTGAATAAAGTTGTTTTAAACATTTTGGTTCCCGACTCTTTTAATGACGTTAAGCAACTTGAAGGTTAGACTTCTTGTTGCCCCTTCACAATTAAAGCCCTCCCTTAGTTGTAAATTTGAAGCTTTTACTGTGAAAAACACCTTTAAGTGAGGTTGAGAATTAATTTAGTTAGAAAGTGAATCCTCAACTTATTTCAGATATTTTGGTAGGTATTCTATTATTACATTAAATCATCATTTGGGGTTTTAAGTTCCACAAGAAAAAGCTGCATTACTTGCCTCATTTATACAAATTCAGAAAGTATCTATAAAACAAGTTATTGGAAAAGTTGAATAAACGCCCGATATATATAATATTTACTACAAACACTTCCTATCCTTCAGGAGAACGTAGTCAGAATCAGAATAAACATTTTCAGGCCCGAGTGCAACTGCAGGTGTAACACAAACCAATGAGGAGCCTGACAGGCAAACACACCTGAAAACGCATCACTTAATTGATATCACGCAGATGACATTTCACCCTCATGTACATTTCAAACACAATCCATATTGGAACAGATGTTATGAATATAAAACTCATGCAGAAATTCTTCTCTGGTGTTTACAGACTGAAGATATCAGGAATCAAACATTCAAATAAAACCCATTAAGCAGAAAGATGAAACGTGATTGCGGACCGGTGGGTTCGGGATCGTGATGCGCCGTGAGCGTGCGTGTGCGTGCGTGCGTGTATGTGTGTGCGTGTGCGTGCGTGTATGAGTGTGCGTGTGTGTGTGTGTGTGAGTGTGCGTGTGTGAGTGTGCGTGTGTGTGTGTGTTTCCGGTCGCAGCTGCTCACCTGGAGGAGCGCAGCGGGCTGTGAGCTTCCACTCCGCGGCTTGACATCATCGCTCTTTGACTCTGGCGGGTGCGGACGCCATTGCTCCGCCTTCACGGCTCTTTAATGAGCCGCACCTGAGGGGCGGGGCCTGCTGCCGCCGCGTGACTCACCTGGGCCGCTTCCGGTCCGCCGGACGAGAAAGAGCGAAAAGTTTTTTCACAGGAAGGTTTTCAGAAATTATAATAAAAATACAAAGTACTACAGCTGTCAAAAAGTAAAAATGAATAATACAAGAACCACAACTGTGTACAATATATAAACATGATGTATTACTCAGTACTTCCAGATCATTTTGGCAAAGTACCACACAGTAACTTTTAAAAAATTAAAACATAAAAAATATTAGATTAACTCTAATCAATAGCAATATGAAATCAGTTAAAAGTAAACGTTTACTGAGGAATCATTAGCATAGCCAGCTATCGTTAGCACATCTCGACCTATGCGACGTACTAACAGAGCGATGGTTAACGTAAAGTTAATCAAACACAAAGTTACTCCAATCCCGTGAAGCGAGATGGCTTCGCTGCAGATGCATTCATAGGTACAGTCCGAGGCCTGATGTTACTGTTGTGAAAAGCCTCTATCGGTGGTTGTTTACTTGACTTGTTGTCCATTGTGTCAGTTGTATGCGCTTTAAACTCGCTCACCTCGCCGCTACGTGTCTCCGCTCCAGCAGGCGGCGCTGTGTCGCTCAACAAAGACTCTGCGACAGGCCGTAAACCGTCACTGAGAGGACAAGATGGCGTCCGGCAGCGGGGTGAGTTCCTGGTCGCGTCTGTGTCTAGTGTTAAAACATGACGTTAACGTGACGTCCCGCCACTTTGACTCCGGTCCAAGTGGGTCCATTACTCTGACCCGGTACCGGCTCACACCGACTTCATTAAAACGGGGTTCTAACCCGCTTTGAAACGGCTCTTTAGCCAACGGCTAACAGCTAATAGCATGAACGGAGACAACAGTGTTTACGTTTCCGGTTTTGTCGAAATCATTGTTAAACTCGTGTTTATGAATCCCGTGAAATCGTACACCGTTAGTCTCTGTTTTTATTCTTCATCATCTTTTTATCCGCTAAATGTTAGCGTCCTCTCCGCTAGCGGTTAGCTGCTTTAAAAGTCGTCCGGCCACATTCCTTCACAATAAAGGCATCTAACTAAGAATGTAGATGACAAACAGTGATGTGATCAGCACGAGGGTGACAGAACCGGACCGCGCTGTTAGCACTTGGACGTTCTCTGGGGCTCTTATTTTGTAGAGCCTGTCTACACTAACTGATGCTGTTTAGTTTAACAGATGTTTTATGATCAGGTTCACAATAAAAGCCCCACGTCTGTTGCATTATGGAGCCAAATCCAGGTCAAAAGTTTTGTTCATTTGAAAATCAAATATGAACCTGAAAGTTAATGTATTCAAGATAAAAATAAGTGGACGAAAAATATTTTCGTGACGAATATTGTTCTGACTCAGCTCTACATTTTTTTAGATTTTTTTTTTTTTACAATCTTCACTTGTAGATATTTTTTGATGATTCACTATATTATATTTTTCGATGGCAGATTTTATATTTTCAGATTCAAAACTTCAACAACAAAACGTTAACTTTCAGGTTCACATTTGTTTTTCAAATGAACAAAACTTTTGACCTGGATTTGGCTCCATATTGCATCAGCTGATCTCATCACAGTTTATACATCTTCATCCAATATTTTAAATGATTCCTTTAATAACACAAAAATAAAACATGTGGAGCCTAACTCATCTTTAATATGTTAACCTACCAAAACACCTTAACGTCGTCTTCTCTGTTTCCCCGGACTCTTCTTCTCCTCTTGTAGTCCAGTAAGAATGACTTCCGCAGGAAGTGGGACAAAGATGAGTACGAGAACTTGGCCCAGAAGCGTCTGTCTGAGGAGAAGGACCGGGAGAGGAAAGATGGTGAGGACGCCCATGTGGTTTGAGCATCTCCCAGCCTGGCTCTTTTGGTGACAGGAAGTGACATCACAACGGTCTGCTTGTGTTTCAGGCAAAGTGGCTCCGCCGGTCAAGCGGGACCTCCTGCGTCACCGTGACTACAAGGTGGACCTGGAGTCCAAATTGGGAAAGACCATCGTCATCACCAAGACGACCCCCCAGGCCGAGATGGGCGGGTACGAACACACGTCACCACTGCTAGCTGCAGTCTGTAGGCCACGCCCCCTCCCGTTGATTGGCTGTGTCTTCTTCTCTTGCAGGTATTACTGTAACGTCTGTGACTGCGTGGTCAAGGACTCCATCAACTTCCTGGACCACATCAACGGGAAGAAACGTGAGCGACCGATCCCATCGCTGCGCTTGTGTAACTGTGTGTTACTGTGTGTTACTGTGTGTAACTGTGTGTTACTGTGTTCCTGTGAGCAGACCAGAGGAACTTGGGGATGTCGATGAGAGTCGAACGTTCGTCTCTCGATCAGGTGAAGAAACGTTTTGAGGTGAACAAAAAGAAGATGGAGGAGAAACAGAAGGAGTACGACTTTGAGGAGCGCATGAAGGAACTACGAGAGGAGGTGAGTAAGAGGAGAGACGAAGATGAAGAGGTTGAGCAGGAGAGAGGGAGCGATGGAGTTAAGAAATAAGAGATGGTGGGGGAGGGGGATAAGCGATAGTGGAAGAGGACATGGAGATACAATATGAATATTGATGCAGGAGATGGAGTTTTGTGTTGTGACGCTCCTCTCTGTCGTCAGGAGGAGAAGGCGAAGGCCTACAAGAAGGAGAAGCAGAAGGAGAGGAAGCGGCGGGCGGAGGAGGACGTGGACCTGGAGGAGGATGACGAGATGGCGGCGGTGATGGGGTTCTCTGGCTTTGGCTCCTCCAAGAAGAGTCACTGACACTTCCTGGAGGCTGAGCAACCACAACCAGACTGTAAAGACAGGAAGTCATGCTTTTAATTTGGTAGTCTCTTATTTCCAGAGACGTGACGGACAAAATAAACCTTCAAGTTCATGCTGATGAAAAAGTTAAGTTTTGATACAAAAATGATTAGTTGTTAAGTGAATTATTAACATTGAGAATTGTGTCTTATAATCCAGAAAAGTATCTTAGAAGTGAATTATTCAAGTTGTTAGTATCTCAGTTCCATTTTTTGTTGTAAATAAACCGTATTTTTTGTTTTTAATTGTTTCTCGGGTCCAGAGTTTGTTCACCCAGAGATGAGGGAAGCTCAGGGTCCGTCACCATGGTGACTAAAGCTCCGGGTCCGTCACCATGGTGACTAAAGCTCCGGGTCCGTCACCATGGTAACTAAAGCTCAGGGTCCGTCACCATGGTGACTAAAGCTCCGGGTCCGTCACCATGGTAACTAAAGCTCCGGGTCCGTCACCATGGTAACTAAAGCTCCGGGTCCGTCACCATGGTAACTAAAGCTCCGGGTCCGTCACCATGGTAACTAAAGCTCCGGGTCCATCACCATGGTGACTAAAGCTCCGGGTCCATCACCATGGTGACTAAAGCTCAGGGTCCGTCACCATGGTGACTAAAGCTCAGGCTCAGTCTCCATGGTGACTAAAGCTCAGGCTCAGTCTCCATGGTAACTAAAGCTCAGGGTCCATCTCCGTGGTAACTGAGCCTGTGAACATCACCTGGTCGGGAGCAGGTTTTCTTTCTCCTTCCACAGGCTCCTCCCTCTGACAGCAGCCCAGCCAATCACACAGCGCGCTTTACTTTCCTCATTCATTCATTCACTCTGTATCAGTTTACACATATGAACTAAATTACATTACATTACAGGTCATTTAGCAGACGCTTTTATCCAAAGCAACTTACATTACACTTTAAACCCATGGCTTTTTCACAGAAACGTAACTTGCCTCAGTGTGAAGTGGAGATGATCATTGGGAGGTGGGAAGGAGAAGTAAGACGCTCTTTGGAGGACACAGTGTGGATCACTGATGCCAACAAGGCACCACAGCAACGCTGCAGCCTCACGACCTCGGACCCAAATAAAGAAAAAGTGGTCTGACATCAAAGTGGATGCAAAAAAGCGTTTAGCTGCACTACAGCGTGAATCCTTCCATGTGCCACGTCTTCTAAGAGCGCGAGATCAGCCATCAGCATCATTACGCATTGTGACGGCATCGTGGCGTTTTATTACCGTCCATCTGATTCCTTCTGACGAGCAACAGCTGTGTTTAGAGGATGAATTGTTGATATTATTGCAGAACATATTTCACTTTTCTTTTTGTAAATGTGTTAATTAGTATTTGTTTTACGCTGCAGATCAGACGGGTGTTCGTGTTATTTATGAGGCAGTGTTGTCATTTCATTTACAACAGTCTAGTTTTACACACTTTCACACACGTTTGCGTGTTTCTTGCGTTTGCCGACGGTTCTCATTTCACCCGTTTTGTGCGCACGCGTGGGTCCGAGCTCGCGTGAAGCACAATTTCTCCGTCATGTTTGCTTTTCATAAATACCAATTATTGCGTAGAGCGACTTCTGCCTTCTGTTTATAAATGAGGCCCAGATGACTACTTGTTTGAACGCTATCGTTTTCCTTCACAGTCCATCAAATATGTCCATGACCTCACGCGTCCTCATAGAAGTAACGTCCCCATGGTGGACGTGCTCTCACATACGAGCACATTCTTTGTGTAGTATCACGTGTTTTCCTTTACAACATTAGAATATCAGTAAAGCTGCTGCATGCAGAGCCGTGAGAAACGTCTTTTAAACCTTTTTGTTGGACACAAACCAGTGAGACGTTAAAGAGGAGTCCCACAGGATGCACCTGAAGGACACATTACAGGTCCAACACCATCGTACAGCTTATACCAGTGATTAAATATGAGCCTGTGTGTGTATTTCCAGCCTGTGTGTAGTGCATTCTAACAAACAGAGGGAACTAGTCAAACGTATGGATTATGATTAGTGTACATTAAATATTAACAGACACTATATTAGAACTTACACCGTTTCTCTTTTGCTGCAGCTGCTTTTCTTTCTAATTACGGGTTCATACTCGTACGCTTACATTAATATGTGCAGCTCAATAGGGGTGAATGTATTGTTTGTGGTTGTTGCCATGGTAACTCGTCCATTCATGCTGCCTTCATACTGGTGCAGCCGCTCAACTCTGAGTCAACCTACTCGAGATGATCGAACCAGCTCTGAACAGCTGTTCTGACACCAGAAACTCAGAGTTTGTTAAACCTCCGACTTGAAACGGACCCCTGATCTACGAGCTCAGTTTGTCAGTGAATGCATCACTAAACACTGACGTGTTTCTGTGTTGCCTTCATGGACGGCCTGTCAGATGAATCTACTTGAAGAACATGTCTGCTGTTAGATCAGGAAGATTAAGAGATTATTTGAGGCGGCACTAGGACCCAGGGGAGCTGAGTATACAGTAGTGTTGGCCCCTCCCTTATTTCTTATTTCTTTGCATGTTTGTCACACTTAAATGTTTCAGATCATTAACAAATTTAAATGTTAGACAAAAATAACAAGTAAACACAAAATGCAGTTTTTAAATGAAGGTTTTTATTATTGAGGGAAGAAAAAAATCCAAACCTGTAAGAACAAGTCATCCCCCCGTTAAAACATGAAAGAACTGTAGTTTATCACATCTTTGGAAAGCTGAGGTCAATTTCTCAATGAAGAAGTGACTTAAATAGGACCTGACAACGTGAAGAAGACCAGACGATCCTCAAAGGCTGCGATCCAAAGAAATTCAAATGAGAAACAAAGTCATTGAGATCATCAGTGTGGAAAAGGTCACCAAGGCATTTGTAAAGCTTTGGGTCTCCAGCGAAGCACAAACAGTGGTGAACCTTCTCAGGAGCCCCACGACTCATCCAAGAGGTCACCAAAGACCCCAGAACAACATGCAAAGACCTGCAGGCCTCACGGGGTCCATGACTCCACCAGAACAAAGAGACACAAACGGCAGAGTTCCAAGACGAAAACCACTGCTGAGCAAAAAACATCAAGGCTCGTCTCAGTTTAGCCAGAAAACATCCTGACGATCCCCAAGACCTCTGGGGGAAAACTCTGGACGGACGACACAAACATTTATCTTTTTGGAAGGCGTAAAAGTAACCCTTCAGAACAGGAACCTCATACCAACAGTAAAATGTGTGGTGTGACGGTCTGCTGCTGTTTTGCTGCTTCAGGACCTGGAAGACTTTCTGTGGTAAAAGGAACCATACATTTTGCCGTTTACCAAAAAGTCCTGAAGGAGAAGGTCCGGCCATCTGTGTGTGACCTCAAGCTGAAGAGCACTTGGGTTCTGCAGCAGGACAACGATCCGAAACACACCAGCAAGTCCAAGAAAATCCAAATGAAGTCTTTCAGTGGCCTCGTCAGTCCTCACCGGAATCCGATGGAGATGCTGTGACGTGACCTCAAAACGGAGGTTCATGCTCAAACGGTTCTGCAAAGACGAGTCCACAGTTCCTCCACAGCTGTAAAGACTCATTGCCAGTTATCGCAAACGCTTGATGGCAGTTGTTGCTGCTCAGAGCGGCCGACCACTTATTGGATTGGATTTTCTCCCCCTTAATAATAAAAACCTTCATTTAAAAGCTGCATTTTGCGTTTACTTGTGATCTTTGTCTAATATTCCAATTTGTTTGATCTGAAACATTTAAGTGTGACAAACATGCAAATAAATCAGGAAGCGGGCGAACACTTTGTCACACATCTGTATTTATAGAAAGACGAGGAAGAGAAGCAGGGGGGATGAAGAGGAAGTCATATGTATAGTATATATATATCTACACATTCATATACATATATGTATATATATATATATATACAATTAGTGCAGAATTCAATAATACATTAAAAGCTAGTGTATTGTAAATGCTTCTATTTCAAATGAATATCATCAGAAGAATAAAAGAGGCTGTGAGCAGCAGCAGCTTAACATACAGGATATAAAGTCGTCTCTCGTGTTCTGTAGGAGGCTCCTGGTGAAGAAGGAACGTGGACCTTCAGTCTGCAGACTGTCAGTGAGAGCAACAGCTGCTGCTCGCTGTGACGCCGTCGCTGCTTCATGTAACTCGCGTGTTCTCCTCAGTACTCCAGCTCCTGGTACTTCCAGCTCGTAGTACTCCTAGTACTCCAATAATAAGGTACTTCTGGGAACTTCTTGTGGTGACAAATAGCTTTGCTTTCACTGGTAGAGATTTAAGATGAAAATGTCCATTTAAAGGTGCAGAACGTCCTCGTTCACAGTTAAGCTCCTCCCACCACACAAACGCTCAATGACATCATTGTCGCCGTGAACGTGCCCAGCCCTAATGTACACACACATTTATATATATGTACACATACACACATCAATATGTCTATATGTATACTTAAACACACATAACAGGTACAAGTACCTCACAAACAAAGTACTTTACGTCCACTTACAATTACAGCAGCGATCACACTGATCTGAGGTCACAAACTGACTCTGAGTCTGCGACTTCCTGCTGAAGCGCGGTCTGTCGCTGGCGGGGTGCAGAGGTTCCGCTTTGTGGTCAGACGGGGGCGAGATGCTGCTTGTTGCCCCCCCCCCCCCCCCCAGCGGAACCTCTGCTCTGCACAGACACTTCCTCTGAGATGGAGGGAGGAACGAGAGACGTTGCCTCAAAGAGGACGAGGTGCGGGGAAAAAACGAGGAAGCCATTTTGGTTCCTGTATACATGTCGGCACTTTGTCTTCTTCTTCTCTCCTGAAACACACAAAGAAGAGTTTGAGAGGAAGTCAGAGCCCCCGAAGACGGGCGGAGGTCATCCGACACCCGGCGGACAGGAAGTGGAGACTCTCTGGGCATCGAAGGCACCGGCCGAGGAGTCAGAGGAGGAACCAGGATGAGCTCTGACCGAGTGCCGTCCAGGGCCGTGGTGACGGAGTGGAGTCCTCAGCAGCTGGCCGAGTACCTGCACAGGGTGAGGCCTCCTCCGTCACCTCCTCCGTCACCGCCACCGTCGTTCTCCTGATGTTGAAGAAGACATCTTCTGGACAGGAAGTAGTGAGACGTTTAAACCATGTTTGTGTTCCCAGATAAATCTCACTGGGTGTGACAAAGTGGTGATGAAGAACTCCATCAGCGGGAGGAGGTTTGTGGTGAGTTCATCTGAAGAGGAGAAGGAGAAGAGGAGAGAAAAAGAGGTGGAGGAGAGAGGAAAGGAGGGGAGAAAAAGAGGCAGAGGAGAGCAGAGAGGAGAGGACACAAGGAAGGAGGCAGGGAAGGAGTTGAGAGGAGGAGGTAGTGTAGAGTATAGAGACGTAGAGGAGGAGAGGAGGACGTAGAGACGATGAAATGTCGTCATGATGACATCATCATTTCTTCTCGTCCTGCAGAACCTGAGCGACAACGACCTTCAGAAGTTCCCCAAACTTCACGCTCCGTGAGTCTAGAATATTAGAAACATGAATCTCTTTGAATAACCTTTATTAGTTTGTTTGAATATCCTTTATTAGTTTGTTTGAATAACCTTTATTAGTTTGTTTGAATAACCTTTATTAGTTTGTCTGAATAACCTTTATTAGTTTGTTTGAATAACCGTATTAGTTTGTTTGAATAACCTTTATTAGTTTGTTTGAATAACCTTATTAGTTTGTTTGAATAACCGTATTAGTTTGTTTGAATAATAATAGTTTGTTTGAATAACCTTATTAGTTTGTTTGAATAACATTATTAGTTTGTCTGAATAACCTTATTAGTTTGTTTGAATAACCTTTATTAGTTTGTTTGAATAACCTTATTAGTTGGTTTGAATAACCTTTATTAGTTTGTTTGAATAACCTTATTAGTTTGTTTGAATAACCTTTATTAGTTTGTTTGAATAACCTTATTAGTTGGTTTGAATAACCTTTATTAGTTTGTCTGAATAACCTTTATTAGTTTGTTTGAATAACCTTATTAGTTGGTTTGAATAACCTTTATTAGTTTGTTTGAATAACCTTATTAGTTGGTTTGAATAACCTTTATTAGTTTGTCTGAATAACCTTTATTAGTTTGTTTGAATAACCTTTATTAGTTTGTTTGAATAACCTTATTAGTTGGTTTGAATAACCTTATTAGTTTGTTTGAATAACCTTTATTAGTTTGTTTGAATAACCTTATTAGTTGGTTTGAATAACCTTTATTAGTTTGTCTGAATAACCTTTCCAGGATGATCTCAAAGATCAGCACTGAAATCAGCAGGAAGGAGGAGAGAAGAGGCCTGTTTGGTAAAAAGTAAGAATATTCTTTAAACTGAATGTTCAGTTTTCACTGATTGACGTAGTTTATTGTTTGGTTTATTAATAGACTCATTTGAAGACATTGATGTTCAGTTGTCTTTAGTTGTGTTAAAGAAGCTGTGAGCTTCCTTCTGTGTTTGTTTTAATAATTGTTTTAAGGGTTTTATTTGAAGTTAATATTTGTTTTCAAGTTGTATTTTATCATGTTTATATAATCAATTATTGAAAATCATACAGATTCTAAAATAATAACTGAAGTAGTAGGTGTACTCATATTTACAGTACTGTATTTTTAAAGATTATTACTTATAATAATAGTTCTTTCCATCACAGATCAACTCCCACATACCCTGAACCAGGTAGGACCATTATCATCTTATTGCTTGTATTGATGTTATACTTTATTATACGTAAATATGTATCTATAGATCTCTATGGATCTCTCAGGATCAAAGAAGTTAAGATGAATATTTGATGTAAATACATGAATGTATATTCATGTATTATTCCGTCTTTTCTCTGCAGACGCGGCTTCTGATGTTCAGGGTTGGGCTGAGGACGAGTTTGTGAGTCTTCAATGTTCTTTTTTATATATTTGTCTTATTTCTTTTCTTTGGTCTTATTTTTCATGTTTTACTTCACAAACACAAAACATTTAAAGAGTATTCATACAGTGTGTTATTAGTACTTTTACAGTAACGTAGTATTCATACAGTGTGTTATTAGTACTTTTACAGTGACGTAGTATTCATACAGTGTGTTATTAGTACTTTTACAGTGACGTAGTATTCATACAGTGTGTTATTAGTACTTTTACAGTGACGTAGTATTCATACAGTGTGTTATTAGTACTTTTACAGTAACGTAGTATTCTTACAGTGTGTTATTAGTACTTTTACAGTGACGTAGTATTCATACAGTGTGTTATTAGTACTTTTACAGTGACGTAGTATTCATACAATGTGTTATTAGTACTTTTACAGTGACGTAGTATTCATACAGTGTGTTATTAGTACTTTTACAGTGACGTAGTATTCATACAGTGTGTTATTAGTACTTTTACAGTGACGTAGTATTCATACAGTGTGTTATTAGTACTTTTACAGTGACGTAGTATTCATACAGTGTGTTATTAGTACTTTTACAGTGACGTAGTATTCATACAGTGTGTTATTAGTACTTTTACAGTGACGTAGTATTCATACAGTGTGTTATTAGTACTTTTACAGTGACGTAGTATTCTTACAGTGTGTTATTAGTACTTTTACAGTGACGTAGTATTCATACAGTGTGTTATTAGTACTTTTACAGTAACACAGTATTTTACTCTCCGTCAGGACGAAGAGTTCGACGATGACTACGAGAGTCCGTACAGTGGCGATGAAGATGGAGGCGACGACGACTACGAGTCCCCCAACGAAGACCCGGACTACGAGCCCCCCCCCACCGAGCCCCAGGAGGACCTGGTCCACAAGCTGTGCCCCACCCTCCCCATTGCAGACAGCGACTACATAGGTAGAGAAGCTCCACCTACACGGACCGTCCTGAACCAATCAGAACAAAGACACAACAGAGCCAGAAACAGAACCACTTAGTACTTAACGTAGTACTTTATGTAGTACCTTGCATCGTATTCATGCAGTACTTTAAGCAGTACAAAGACAATACAAATCTGCACAACGCAGGACTTCAAGAGAACAAAGTGGTAACTTCATAACTTCAGCTCGTCAGTAGCACAATATGATTATTATGAGAGGAACTGAGTCAGCTGACAGGTCACCTGCCAGTCAGGGGGAGACTTCTGACGGACGCTTGTATGTTCTCTCTGTGTGTCTGTGTGGGTTCTGTCCCACGGACCAAAGACAAGCTGCTCAGGCTAATTGATTACATTAAACTAATAATACATGTATATTTATTCATCATGTATTATTATTATTATTATCATGAATATTTCTATGTATGTGTGTTTAGATAGCCATGTGACATCCAGAGCCCCACCCCCTGCCGTCAGTCCCCGCCCCCCAGCCTCCACCCTCTCTGCACCGCCTCACCGGATGGTGAGTCTCCTGCTGAAGCCTAAAGTTTTAAGCCCTTGAGGTAACTGACCCGTGTGTTTGTGTGCAGCCGTCAGAGTCGTCCTCCTCTAGAAGAGACGTGTCCCCCAGCTGTCGGGGGGGGAATTGTGAGTCCACGTTACTTTATGTGGTGTAACACCATCACCATCATCGTCATCCAGGCTAAATGTCCTTAAAGAACCAGACTTCTCTGGTTCTTTAATGTCCTGGCCCTGTGATCCCGGCTCAGTCACACACACTAATGGAGAACCTGTCCTTCTGTGTTCAGTGGCTACGGGTCCACCCAGAATCTTCCGTGGCAACAAACCTGGCCGCGAATCAGGACCCAACCCGTCGCCCGTCAGAGGTATGTGAACCCACCGTAATCAACACTGGCATCGTCTTCTCAATATGATAATAACAACTAACGCTTTATAACTAAATAACAAACGAGCTCCCTGTGAAACAAAGCGCTCCGTCTTCTTCTGTTTCTTTCTCCACATATGATGAGCATGACTTTATTTATCTGCCGTTCTTCTCTCCGATCCACAGGGCCTCATCATAACTCAGCGGACAAAGTGAGTTGTCTTTAAACAAACTAGAGCAGAACTCTGAGGAACTATTCTGGTCTCCCAGTAACCGTTTAAGTTTGTTTTAATCTTGTTTTTTCTCTTCCTCACAGCCCGGCCAACACTCTCGTAGGTGAGCCCAGACACGCTGGTGGATAAATAAAGGGCACCTCAGGGGTCTGTCCTGGGTCCTGGACCATTTACATAGAACCAATATAGACCTTATGCCATCTAACCTGATGCAGACAACTGTGTCTTCTAATCAAAGGTAGTGAGGTTCCACTGAAGGCCGGCGCAAGTTTCTTTGTCGACGCACGCGTCCTCATAGTCCGCCAACGACGGCTTGTACAAGCGCTCATATTTAAAAGCTCTTCAATCTGATCCGTTCTCTCGTAAACGTTCTTCCTTTTAATAACGGCCGTATTGTGCTGTGAAAACGGAGACGTGAGACTCCGTAAAGGACGTAGTCAGCAGACCGATCACAGCCTGGTGCTGCAGGACGCTGCAAAGCTTTACACGCTAGTCTACAAAAATGGGTCGACGCACACAAGGAAGAGTGAAAAGACACGCATGGAACACGCAAGAGACACGCAAGCGACACGCGAGGGGCTGTTGCGTCTCTCTGAAAACGCAGAAGCATAAACTAGTCTTAAGAACCGTCACCTTCTGAAGAACCCTTTCAACTGTAGGATGGTTCTACATTAAAGGGTTCTTAATTCATGTTTGAGTCATTGGACGGTATGAATAAGAATATATAAGACTCTGCTAGTTAGCATAATACATACAGTATATATGTGAATGATGAATAAGTACATATTACCCCTTCAGTTCACTATTATTTTTTACTGAAAATGTGTGTTTTCAGTTTAGTCGGCTTCATTCTGCCTGCAGCCGTATTTTAAGACTCTCTTTACTTAAAGCCTCCCCATATTTTTATATACTTTGGCATCTGATTTGTGTTTCACACAATTCCCACATCCCTCAATTATATTTGTCATCATTCTATTTTACATTGTTTTACTAGTGTGTGTGCGTGTGTGTGTGTGTGTGTGCGGGTGTGCGTGTGCGTGTGTGTGTGCGCGCGTGTGTGTGTGTGTGCGTGTGTGTGCGTGCGTGCAGGTGTGTGCGTGTGTGTGTGTGTGTGCGTGTGTGTGCGTGCGGGTGTGTGTGTGTGCGTGCGTGCGGGTGTGTGTGTGTGCGTGTGTGTGTGTGTGTGCGGGTGTGTGTGTGTGTGTGTGTGTGTGTGTGTGTGTGCGTGCGTGCAGGTGTGTGTGCGTGTGTGTGTGTGTGTGCGTGCGTGTGTGTGTGTGTGTGTGTGTGTGCGTGCGTGCAGGTGTGTGCGTGTGTGTGTGTGTGTGCGTGCGGGTGTGTGTGTGTGTGTGTGTGTGTGTGTGTGTGTGTGTGTTGGAGATAAAGTTGTGGTTCCACTGCTATAATATGTAACAATATGACGATGTTCGATGTGTTCAGGCCTCAGCTGGACTCCCCTGAACCTCCCACCTGGTCCAAACCACCAGTCCTCCCTCTACCCTCCGTCAGCAGGAGCAACTCGTCCTCCACCCGACCTCCGGCCAACAGGTCCTCCATCACCTTTCAAATCAAAATGAGTCCCTTTAATAATATAGGACCCACTTAACGTTCTCAGTCCTTTGTGATGAAGACGATCAGAATGTCGTGTTTGGTTTGTTCGACAGGTTTGATGTGAGGAGAGAGGTGAGTTCATCTTCAAGGTTTTATTTTGAAGGATTATTTAGTCTGAAAGGATCTCTGATTCTTTTCTTTACTTCTCACTCGTCAGCAAACACAAAACGAAGGTAAGATTTTTAATCTTTTCTGCAGTTAATGAACAAAAACAGCCCAAAGTATCTCAATGGTTTATAAAATACTTTTTTTGACTTATAGCTCCTAAACACAACACCTTCCCCCTTCAAAGTAAAAGTCTGCCCCCTCGCCCCGGACTACCGGGACTCCCGTCACATCAAGGACACAGGTATGAAGAAAGAGTAATAAAGTTCTTCATAGAATTCTACTGAAATACAACAGGGTTTGAGGTCCACTTCAGCTTTAACAAATTACATAGAATTAATAATACTTACTATATATATAATATTAATATTAATTCCCTTTCTTTCAATCTTTAAAACATCTTTAAAATATATATATTATTAAGTAGTTTTATTATTAGTACAGTATATACTAATACTATATAATAATAACAAGGCTTTACGCTTGTATAACGTATATAACGTGTATAACGTATATAACGTGTAAAACGTATATAACGTGTATAACGTATATAACGTGTATAACGTCTATAACGTGTATAACGTATATAACGTGTATAACGTATATAACGTATATAACGTGTATAACGTCTATAACGTATATAACGTGTATAACGTCTATAACGTGTATAACGTATATAACGTGTATAACGTATATAACGTGTATAAAGTCTATAACGTGTATAACGTGTATAACGTATATAACGTGTATAACGTATATAACGTGTATAACGTGTATAACGTCTATAACGTATATAACGTGTATAACGTATATAACGTGTATAACGTGTATAACGTGTATAACGTGTATAACGCGTATAACGCGTATAACGTGTATAATGCATATAACGTGTATAACGTATATAACGTGTATAACGTGTATAACGTGTATAACGTATATAACGTGTATAACGTGTATAACGTGTACAACGTATATAACGTATATAACGTGTATAACGTCTATAACGTATATAACGTGTATAACGTATATAACGTGTATAACGTGTATAACGCGTATAACGCGTATAACGTGTATAATGCATATAACGTGTATAACGTATATAACGTGTATAACGTGTATAACGTATATAACGTGTATAACGCGTATAACGCGTATAACGTGTATAACGTGTATAACGTGTATAACGCGTATAACGTATATAACGTATATAACGTGTATAACGTGTATAACGCGTATAACGTGTATAACGTGTATAACGTGTATAACGTGTATAACGTATATAACGTGTATAACGTGTATAACGTGCCAGCAGCTCGCCTCCCAGTGTTCCCACTGCAGGATCGCTGCCCCACAAGCTGCAGTCCGGTAAGAGCTCAACAGTAATGGAAGCGTATATTAAATCTAGAGATTCACTGTAACTTTGGTTATTATTGACGTTCAATGTACAAAAAACACCAATGAAGAAAACAATCATCAAGTTCTCTTTAGCTTCAGAGTAATTAGCTGATCAGACTCTGCTAACGAGACTTTACAAAGGTTAAAGGTGAATTATTCTACAGTAAAGACAACATAGGAGAACACATTTAACCTCATTGTGTGTTGGTTCAAGGCTTACATTACTGTCTGCTTTTAAACAACACACACATACATTTTACTATGCAAACCCTAACCCTGAATTTAATGTTAAATATGCCTACAATTAAGATAGATAGATAGATTGATACTTTATTGATCCCTCAAGAGGGAAATGCTGGCATCACAGCAGCATGTACAGGGAAGAAAATAGAATAAAAAGATACACATTATATATAATATAATAAGAGAAATATTAAACTATTAAATTAAATAAACTGAAACAAAAGAATAACCTTCCAAAAGAGACAATAATAATAATTTGTAAAAGGAGAAGAGGAAGAGGAAAGAACAGCAACATAACAGCAGTACAGGGTTATTATTGTCATTATTAAATGAAATTTGGCTTTGCAAAAATGAAACAATTTTGGCAAAGCAAAAAACGAACACGTTGGTAAGATCTAATGCAGCCTGTAAATATGTTTATGTGAGTAAACGTGTCCACACACGGCACGTATAATATCTGCTGTTAATGTTTAATGTTTAGTGTTTCTCTGTGCCGGCGCTTTGCCACCAGCAGAGTGCAGCCTGTTTATTACAATCAGTGAGGACTGTGTGTGTGTGTGTGTGTGTGTGGTCGTGTGTGTGTGCAGCGATGGCCGGACAAAGAAGCAGCTTCGTAGACAAACAGTCGGTTCAACCTTCTCCACCTTCAACATCACACACAGAGGTGATGATAATACACACACGTGTTCGTCTGCCTTGTCTTTGAGGGCCCTGAGCTCGGCCCTGGACCGTCATACCGGGGTCCCGTGTTCACTGTCACACGCGACTTCATGACCATAAGTATCTGGTTTAAAATGCTTTATTGTTACAAGTATCTTTATGTTATGATGTCCTTGTAAAGCAACGGTTGATAATATTCATAATAATGATGATTATAACTTTATTAACAGCGAATAGAGGTAATACAGATTTGATGTATTTGTACTGTGTGTAGCAGCTGGACCCTCGCTGGTACGTCGGCAAAGTGACCAGAGGTCAGGCAGAGGGGTGTCTGAACCAAGTCAACCAGGTAAAGAACTTTATCTTCTAGTTTCCACTCAGAGGAACATGTCAGTCAGTCCAACTGAAGCATCATGGGAAATATATTACCTGTTAGTCAATATATATATATATATATATATATATATACACACATAGGTATATACATATACACATTTTATATATACACATAGATACATGCATATACATATATTCATTCATTCAATTCTCACAACAGTGTGATTACTCGTTATTTATTAGGTAATTGGGTCATTTGTTTGATCTAATATATAAGCTGCAGTCAGTTAGATGGAGAGACGAGAAGGTAGCAATAGATGGAGGCCTCCTGCCTCCACGTGTCTGACAGAAGGAGGACTTGTGATGTGCCGTTCGTGAACGATTTGTTCACTTTGAACGAATCGTCCTCTCAAAAAAAGATTTGTTCATTTTCTGGTGGCCACGCATCGGGACTTCCATCGGCTCAGCCAAGGAAACAGAAACGACTCGTTGAATGCAGGTCACGTGGAAAATGAACGACGAACGAATCATTGACCCGAAGACTCGTTCATCTGCCGGATACGGATCTTTAGATCATTTTTCACGTGAGCTGCGCTCAGAAGAGGAAACAGAAAGGATTTGTTTACCTCGTTCACTTTCGCGTGGCTACGTTTAGTAAGACGTGAATGATATTCCTTCACAAGTAATAATTACAGGTTTCGTTATTTTAACTTTTTTGTACTTTACTTCTCTAATCAACTGTGATACTGAAGTACTCACTAAGCCCGTGAAGCGTCTTCGGCAAACGCCACTCTTCTTTTCAGTCTGAGCCTCGGACTTTAGGTAGGTAAAGGGGTGAAGTGAAAACCTGGCATGCCGCTATTAACGTCTCTTGGCTGTACAATGAATAAAATGCATTTTGCGGTCCGGTTTGCGCTGTGTTGTAACGTTAAATCAACGTAACGCGCCGGAGGAGACGAGCTACTTCAGAACGCGGTCGCCTCGGTGAGAAATAGCCGAATAGCCTCCGACTGCCCGCTAGCTAGCTCCCAGCGCAGAGCGCTTCCCGCCGTGCGGGGATCAAGTTAGCCGAGGCGGAGACTGTCGTTGTAAAATGCTGTCCTCCCCGTAACGCTACTCCCGAGCACGGCGGCGTCACACGCGTGTTTCTCGAGACGTGGGGGGCGGATGTCAAGTTTTGGAAGTCGGCAGGTTAGGCGCGTTAGCCCGCGGTAACTTCGTCCCCGCGTGACGTAAAGCGCCGAGCGAGGGGCGGCCGTTGACCGGTCCTCCCGCGGCGCCGTGTCCGCCACAACGTCCCCCCTGCGGCGTCGTTGGATGTCAGCGAGTGAAAACGAATGTGTGGGCGCCCGGCGCCCTCGGTGGGAGTGGTTGTAGTCCACAGCGCAGGACCTCATGTGAGCTGCTAACGAGTTCAGCGTAATAGTTATGTCGTTATAATTGAATGCTAGCGTGAAAATACATGATCACTTCAAATCATCCGGACTGTCATGATTTTAATGCAGGAATTTATCTTACCGCCCCCGAAATGAACGAATGACTCAAAAACAGATTTGTTCATTTTACTGAACGAGATTCAAAGAACCGAGTCGGTAAAATGATCCGAACTTCCCATCACGAAGGAGGACGAGTGGCAAACGGATCCCTTTGATCACTACGGAGGGCGGAGCTACTTGAGTCCTGGTTATAACTTTAACAACAATGAATAACCCACAACAAACACTCTTTAACAGGTAAAACACCACCACACAACAGCTGGTGACACATAAACAACTTGTAGCACTAATAATTGTACATTTCTAAAAATGACCCCGCCGAACTGCATGCTGGGTAAAGCTCACAACAAGAAGTAACTCTGATGCTACATGAAAACACAGAAAAGAGCGACACAAGAGACCAGAGATGCGCCAACATCTGTTGGAAGGGTTTTTGGTTTTGAAAGATCCAACGTTATAAGTTATAAGTAATAAGTTAGAAAACAATTTATTGCAACGTATGGCAGACCTCTTTTTTTGTGGTTCATAAAGAAGTTTTTTGAGAGCCTTCTTCTTGGAAATGGCACCTCTAAGAATCTTTTTCCTCTGTTCTGGAACCTGACATGGTTCTACTGTGGCTTCACTCGGAACCACCAGTTTGGGTTGAAGAAGCCTTTACATGTCCGTGTGTAGAAGTACTTGTTGACAGTATTAGTCCTGAGTGGTGTTGTTGTTGTTGTTGTATTGAGGACGGGGCCTACCTGGTGAGGGACAGCACCCGACAGCAGGCCAACCAGCCCTTCACCCTCATGGTCCTCTACCAGGAGAAGGTCTACAACATCCAGATCCGACAGCACCACAACAACTTCCTGCTGGGAACCGGACTCAAAGTCCAGGAGGTAAAACCGCTACCGACCAACCGCAGCCCAGCAACAGTAACCACGGTGACGGCCGGCGTAACGCACAGCCAACGCGCTCTGTGAGGCGCTTCAGCCATTAGAAATACTCTGTTAGAGGGAGTAATACCACACATTAGAAATACTCTGTTAGAGGGAGTAATACCACACATTTGAAATACTCTGTTAGAGGGAGTAATACCACACATTAGAAATACTCTGTTAGAGGGGGTAATACCACACATTTGAAATACTCTGTTAGAGGGAGTAATACCACACATTAGAAATACTCTGTTAGAGGGAGTAATACCACACATTTGAAATACTCTGTTAGAGGGAGTAATACCACACATTAGAAATACTCTGTTAGAGGGAGTAATACCACACATTAGAAATACTCTGTTAGAGGGGGTAATACCACACATTAGAAATACTCTGTTAGAGGGAGTAATACCACACATTAGAAATACTCTGCTAGAGGGAGTAATACCACACATTAGAAATACTCTGTTAGAGGGAGTAATACCACACATTAGAAATACTCTGTTTAAATAAACGTACCACACTGGGTTGGAATGGAGAAGAATACTAATACTACAGAGTGTACTTCTACATTTTGTATTTCCCTGAAAGAACAGCTAAAGCTAAGTATAAGTACACAGGAGTTTGTGGAAGAAGTACTCAGCCGCAGTAAACCGTCTTCTCCTCTGACCAGTTCTTCCCTTCGGTGAGCGCCATCGTCGGCCATTACTCCCAGAGTCCTTTGCTCCTCATCGACGCCAAGAACAGAAGCTCCGGCCAGCAGAACCAGTGCCTGCTGGCCGAGCCGGTCGGACACCTCATGGGCCGGCAGCCGTGGTCCTGACCGGGTCCACCGGGTCCACCGGGTCACGGACCAGAACCAGGGGGAAAACAATAGAACTAGTTTCTCACTTTGTTTCTCTGCTGCTGAGTTTTTATTTTTGAAAGGTTGAGACGATAGATTCTAATGTTTGTACGAGACGTTGTATAAACGCTGTATTTGTACAACGTCAACGTAGAGAGCAGATTCAAACTATGAAATCAATGGATGACGCTGAGCTGAATAAATCACTTGTTCCAAACTTGTTTGTTAAATAATGTTTTTATACGTTTTTAATCTCTTGTTCTTTAGGATTAATCTTTTTAGCACAATAGCTATTCATAGAGTCGGAAATTTAGAGGCTAAATATGCTAACTGTGCTATCAGAGCTAAAAATGCTGACAGGCTAATGGTACTAAATGTGCTAACAGCGCTAACAGTGCTTTCAAGGCTAATAGTGCCAACAGAGCTGACCCTTTAATAGGATAATAGTTGTATTAACTACTTGACTTTTTATTGACAAAATTGTGAATTTATGAGTTAAATATTTTGTTCTCAGCGTTTAGTGTAACAATCAACGTGTTAAGCGTAAACCTCCACCGGGTAACATGACCAGTGGACATCACACCACCTTGTGATGTCATCATGACAAGGTCACTGATGTCAGTGATGTCATCACGTGATAAGTGATGATCAATCTGATCACACGCACACACGTGTACACCAGCCTGATCTCCAAAACCTGTTGGTAAAAATGTCTACGAAAAGCTTGAACATACAAATTCGTAGTGATGCATACGAAATAAATACAGACGGCAACTGATGACGTCACCCTGTTCAAAGTGAACGGGACCTGCGCCCCGTAAACACACTTAGTGAAGTCTATGTCAAATAAACGTGTTATCATTGCGTTTTTAACGAGTAATCAATGTTAACTTGTAAGAATAGATCACTAACCCGACCCCCTCAAACATCCCACATGGCGGAGAGACGTTCACTCAGGAATCCGACATGCTCCGCCATGTTTGTTCACTCATGTGTCGTGGCTACCCACCGCCAGTTCATATGTAATTGGGTACGAAATTTGTATGTTCAAGGATTTTCGTATCCATGTTTACAGGCTGTTGGAGATCACGACGGGTACACACACACACACACTACACACGCACACACATACTGCATACACTACGCGCACACCCACACACACACACACACACACACACTTCACACACATACACATACACATACACACACACACACACATACACGCACACACACACACACACGCACACATACACGCACACACACACACACACACACACACGCACACACACACGCACACACATACACACACACACACCAAATATATGTCTCTGTGTTTGATCACAGATGTCTGTCTACATCTCATTAAAAAACATCACATGATGCATTATTTGACAGACGGGGTAACACCCTATCAAAATAAAAGCACAACAAAGTCACACTTTGAAGTTTGACAGTTTTTTTCATTTTCACATTTGTGTTAAGATCTGAGAAAGTGTCTATGTGTGTGTGTCTGTGCCTTAGTGAGTGTGTGTGTGTGTGTGTGTGTCTGGTAACATCCCACAAAATTCTTTCTGCCCGCGGGGAGGTATTCATGCTGCTCTCATTCAAATTACATCAACACCACACGTCATTTATCTGACGCTTTTATCCAAAGCGACTCACAATAAGAACAAACTCAGAAGAAGAAACAAGAAAGTGTGATTTCCTCAAATAAGCCGATGTACAACTTGCTGTAGATAAGAACCATTATAAGTCCAATGTAAGTGCTACAGTTAGTGTGTTAGTGGAGGTAGAGTCTGAAGAGGTGTGTCTTTAGTCTGAAGATGTGAAGGCTCTCTGTGGTCCTGATGTCTTCAGAGACCTCCTTCCACCATTTAGGAGCAGGACAGCAAAGAGTGGAGATCTAGTCGAGTGTTTTGCTCTCAGTGAGGAGGAACAAGCAGTTTATCACATGCAGAGCGGAGAGGTCAGAGGTCGGGATGTCGGGTTGGACCAGGTCCTGGATGGAAGCTGGCCAGCAGCCACCTGTCAGGCTTGAAGTCTGACTGGTGGGGGTCAAGGAGGTTGTTACGGTGGAGAAAGGAGGACAGTTGGTTAAAGATCGCACGTTCAAGGGTTTTGGACAGAAAGGGAAGAGAGACCGTCTGTAGTTTTTCTTCAGAAGGGTTGAGGGTGGGTTTCTTCTAACAAAGGAAATCTCAGCCATTAACTTCCTAAGTAGACTAACCCATAGCCTTATTCTACTAACCCATAGCCTTATTCTACTAACCCATAGCATTAGCATTTCATTGCATCACGTGTGCACTGCTGTCTTGTTGTCACACTGTCGCGCACCAACCGCCAAGACAAATTCCTTGTAGGTTTGACATATTTTGGCAATAAATGTTTCCTGATTAACCAGCGGTTTGAACCAAGTCAATAATCAGCCAGACACCAGAAGCACTTTACTATCATTTTAATTAAAAACTAAACACATTAACAGAAATAAAAAAACAGGATTATTTGAAAGAGAAAGAAATATTTTCTGCAGAATGATCAAACTGTTAATTTACAGTCTGACGTATTTACAGTTTGCATCCATCGTTCCCATTGGTCCAACAGAACGACGACGTTTCATCCTGCAGAAGGAACAGCAGCAGTTAGCTTAGCACGACGCCTGGGAGGGGCCTCAGTCTGGTTTATTGATCAGGTGGAGAATCGGAAATGTAGGAAGGGGGCGGAGCTTAGTAAGTGTTTTAACTTGAAACTAAATAAGAAAAAGATCAATGTGCTGAATATTTATGTATTCATTAAACCTCTGAACGGCATGCAGCCTTTTGTTTTGAGTAATATAATGAAATGACTTAACAGCAGAATAAGTTAGTGAAAACAAACTGAATCTATAAAACCAAAGTACCAACTTTTACAGAATCTGGTAAAACTTGTTTTATTCGTGGAGGGATTTAGAACGAGACGTTAACAAGTTGTTTGACAAATTTGAAATTTTAAAACTAAATTTCTGGCTGAAGCTCGTCTCACATGATGCGTTCAGGGCCAATCGGAGACATTAAACTCTGATGAGGACTTTCCACCATCGTGTCAATCAAACACGTTAGAGTCAACGACCTCAGTGACCTCACCGACTGGCCGGCGTCTCACAGCGGTTTGGGCAG